TCTCCCTCTCCCTTCTTCTCTGTAAAAAGTCAATAAAATATATTAAAAAAATATCAAGCAGTTTATAGAAATTAAATCAATGAGTAAAAAGTTAAAATTCCCCACTTATTCCCATTCCATCCCCAGAGGTAACCAGAGTGGCATATTGTCTTGGCTCATGGACAGATCAGATGAGGCTTCAGCATGTACCCTGGCTCCGCACCTGCTCTCTCTCGAGTTGGGGACTTCTTAGATGAGGACAAGTTGTATGGTTTTTGCTGTTTTCTATTGATGATAGGTTTGGGTTGAGATTGGTAACTTGCTCCCCTCCCTGCCCCTCATAGCCAATTCATCAGTGGGCCACTTTTTAAACAGCTTTATTGAGGTATAATTTACAGCCATAAAATTTACCCATTGTAAGTGTACAATTCATTGATTGTTACAAATTCATAGAGTTGCACAACCACCACCACAATCCCATTTTAGAGCCTTCCCATCAGCACAGAAAGTTCCTTCATGCCCATCGCACTTAATTCCTGCTCCGCTCCCAGCCTAAGGCACCCAGTGATCCACTGCTGGTCTATAAATGTGCCTTCTTTAGACATTTTTATAAAATATATAGGTTTTTCCCTGGCTCAGTTGATTGGAGCATCATCCTGTACACCAAAAAAAGGTTGCCGGTCCTATTCCTGGTCAGGGCACATATCTAGGTTGCAGGTTTGATCCCCAGTTGGGGCACATTCGTCAGGCAAGTGATTGATGTCTCTGTCTCTCTCTCTCTCTCTCTCTCTCTCTCTCTCTCTCTCTCTCCCTCCCCCCCCCCCCTTCTTTCCCTCTCCCTTCTTTTCCCTCTAAAATAATAAAAACATATCCTTAGGTGAGGATTTATATATATACATATACGTGTGTGTGTGTGTGTGTGTGTGTGTGTGTGTGTGTGTAAAAGGCTGGAACGACCAAACGACTGGTCATCAGGAGGTGCATGGAGCACCTCTTGGTCCCTCCCCTGCAGCCACAGGCTCCGATCGAAGCAAGGCTGGCGGCGGGTGGGCGGGCACTGCGAGGTGCCTGCGGGTGGGTGGGGCTGTGAGCGTGGTAGGGCAGTGAGCAC